CAGTCCATGTGCCCACTCCGGCACCTTCCCTGCAGGACAGGGGAGTAGGAGATGAGGTGTCCAGGAGGAGACCTGGCCAACATCCTCTGATAGCTCCATCTTGCCTAATCCTTCCATCTCCCTTGAGGGAGGCAGGTCTAAGATTTCAATAGTCAGGTCGACCTATCCTGGGTCATCCAGCTGACAAGTGATAGAACCAGGGCCCTAGTCTCCTCTGAGCAGCCACTCCACTGCTGCTGAAGCTAAGGGGCTCCTTTGTCACTCTGACTGTGTCACTACAGCTGTCTTGTTCTAGAGGACCAAGATGAGGAGGGAGCATCCCTCAAGGACCCCAAAGCTGATGTGCCCAGTGTTTTTGCCTGCTTCGTTCACAGCTTTAGGAGGAAAACCAGGCAGTGGCCATGATGTCCCAGGCCAGTTCCCTGGTATTCCGTGCACACGTGTCCTTGGTGCTCAGCATGGTTTTGACACATAGAGGGTGCTCAATGAAGCTTTGAGAAATTGGACTGAACTGGGCGAGTTTGGGTGATCTCGCTGTCACAACCATTCGTGTAGAAAAGCAGTCAGCAAATGGCAGCACAACTCTGCATAGAAGAAAGCGAAATGATAGAGACTTGGCATAGGATTTCAGAAGAGATTTCTAGCTCTTACTCTGATCCTATAGAAAACGGCGGAATCTTGGAGTTATTTCACGTGTTATCATATTTGCAGCTATTTTGGGAGCCTTAATTATTTATTTTTAAGTAGTAAATGTTCACCAGGTGAAGATTTAATGATTTATTTTCTGGCTTTCAGATCATGACACTGGGTGACATTGTCTTCAAGAGAATCAGCAAGAGAATTTAGATGAGTCTGCATTTCATAATTCTTTTATTGTGTAAAATTAATGCAATAAAGTGAACTTTACATAAAAATTTTTTGTGATGAATTCTTGCTGACGATGCTGTTGGTATCAGTGACCTCTGATCATGTATGTTTCATAGACTGTGGTAACTGTCATGTTCTCCTCTACCACATCAGATCTGAGTGTGATTTCTCGCTGATTACAGAACCCATGCTGCCCATCCATGGAAGGAAGGCCAGGTGTGGCTGGGTCTGTAGCATTTCTGGGCTGCCTCTCCTGGGCAGCTGCAGGGATCAGGAGCTGGACCAAGGCGCTGTCCTGCGCTGTGCGCTGGGCTTGGCTGTGGGTCCCCACAGGGACAGGGGCCAGAAATTCTGGGCAGACAAGGGAGGGCTGTGCTCATGATCACAACCACAGTGGCCACTCCCCGGTGAACAGGTGCGAAGGGGCAGGCACTGACCCAGCAAAGGAACAACTCTGCTACAGGAGGGCTGAGTGAGGGATCGAGCGAGGGCAGCCAGATTTGGACAGAAACAGCTTGGATGGAAGCTCCCTTCACCCTAAGGGCAGAGGCAGATTTAGGAGCAGGCGAGGAAGTCCCTGAACACTATGCTCTGACATAATGTCAGGTGTTGAATTGTACCCTTCAATAATGCAAACATTGAAGCCTTAATCCCTAGTAGCTCTGAATGTGATCTTATTCAGATAATAAGGTCATATTCCAGGTGTAATCCGTTAAGTTAAAAGGGGGTCCCACTGGAGCAGGGTGGGCCCCTAATTCAGTATGGCTAGTATCCTTACAGAAAGGGGAAATTCGGACACAGAGACCTCCACATGGTGAGTGTCCATGTAAAGCCTGGAGTTAGGCTGCCACAGACCCAGCAATTACTCAAAACAAGGACAGAGGCTGGGAAAGATTCTTCTCCAGTTCCGTCAGAGAAAGATCAGCCCTGCTCACACCTTGACCCGGGCTTCCAGCCTCCAGAATTGTGAAATAAAACATTTTTGTTGTTTGGGCCACACAGTCTGTGGGACAGGCAGCCCTGAAATCTAGTTCTGTACCCTGAGCCTTTGTTCAGAGTCCTGCCAGGCTCTGCCGTTCCACTCACATAAGGTCTTTCAGTGCCCAGAACTGTACTGGCCCACAGTCATCCTCAGTAGAGGGCTGGATCCTTCACGTTGGGGTGGAAACTGAAAACCTCATTACTTGTAGCTTGGGTTGCTCTGTGGGACGCCCCCCTGCCCCCTCTCCATCTCCTGCAAACCCACTCCCCTCCCAGTGGAGTCATCTTCCACACACCTTTCCTGATGCTCCCCAGTTTGTTATCTACACTTAAGAGTCAGACTGCTCATCCTCTCATCCACACATCCACAGCAGGGTCCAGGAACATTTTTCTGTAAGTCTCCACAGAGAAAATATTCCCAGCTTTCTGGACCATTTGGACTCTGTCCCAGCACTCAGTTCTGCCACTGTAGCACAGAGCAGTCACAGCGTACAAATGGGTGTGGTTGTGTTCCAATAAAGTTTTATGTGTGGGCATTGTTATGATTTATATCTAGATGCCTTCCGAAAGCCTCCTGTGTCATAGGTATGACCTTTGGAAAGTGACTGGATTATAGGGGTATTATTGCTGACTTGATTGATGAGGTAGGCCTGGTTAAAATGGTGAGTCATTGTGGGCATGATCCAGAAGGTTTTATCCCCCTTCTCAGTAGCAAACCAAGAGCAGCTTTTCCTTTACCACACTCCTCTGCCATGCTGTCTTGCCTTAAACCAGCTGACTATGGACTGAAACTTTTACAGACTGTGAACCAAAATAAACCTCTCCTTCCTTAAATTGCAGGTATCAGGTTTTGTGTCTCAGTGATGAACAAAGTGACTATGACAGACACTAAACTTTTTTTCATAAAATGTTTACCTGTCATAAGATATTACCCTTTTTTGATTTTGTTAATTATTGAAATGTGTGGCAACCATTCGTAGCTGATATATTACAAACAATGGGAGTGGTCAGGTTCAGCTTACAAGTCCTAGGATGCCAACCCCTGCAGTCATAGCCTGTTCTGCTTTACTTTCTAGGAAGACTATACAGCCTTCTGGGTCTCCTTGCCATGTGAGTGCCACCTTCTAAGAACTCTTCTAAATTAGCTGAGCATAAACAACTCTTTCCTTCTCTCTTTAAGTTCACTTATGCCAGTTCTTGGGAGTAGAGTTCCTCCTAGCTTGTATATAGTTTTCTCCATATATTTGTTTTCCATCTCCCACCTAGAGTGGAATTCTGGGAGGAAAAGAGAACAATTACTTGGGGAACTAATGTAGACTGAAGGAAGGGCTGAGAGCCAGGGCAAAAATCAATAGCACACAACAATATGCCATTCATAAAAACAGTTCCAGATGAACTGAAGAGATAATTAAATACAAAATGTTAGATATAACAGTACAGTAGGTAAGTAACTTCAAATATAGAAGAATTTCTTATATAAGTTGAAAAGTCCATGAAGAAAGATTAATAAGTTTGAATACCTCAAAAAGTTTTATATGAGGGCCAGGGATTTAGCTCAGTGGTTCTGTCTCCTGCCTTGCAAGCACAAGGTCC